TAAATATGTCTCATCCATAATTTGATAATTTCATAATTTGAGGAATTAATTTAGAACATCAACGAATTATATTTGATTATAGTGGTATAAAGTGAGACTGACGTGGGGTATAAACAAGGGATTTTCCTTGATAATAATAATTTTAAAAAAGGGCTGTCTTACAAGTCTACCTCGTCCTTTGGGTGCCTTTTACAAGAGTGCTTCAAAAGGTTCATGGAAAGATTTGTATTGTCTTTTAATTTTACTTTTCTGTAAACTTTTTGAAGTATCATCACACATAGAACGTAGTATCAGACATAAAAAGAGTCAAATGTATTTTCTGGAACAGCAGTTTCTCAAACCTCAGTATGTATAAGAATCTCCAGGAGTATTTGTGTAAAAAGCAGATTCTTGAGGCCATACTCTGAAGATTACAATTCAGCAGGCTAGATTGATGCCCGGGAAATCAGCTTCTTTTCAAATACTTGGGGGTGGCGGGGGGAGAGGGAGGGAAATATGTGATCCTCTGATTGCCCTCTGAGAAACACTTTCCTGGAGTAGGGTTATGCTTCAATAATAATAGAATATTTCATGCTTTGTGTGGCTGCAGAATAGTATTAAATTTAATTATTTTTATGAATACCATTTTCAATAATAGCATCCTTTGAACATTAAGACTTTTTGGTACATGTATAAAATGTTTTCCTTCGTAGTCACTGTGAGCTGTAACTTACACAATTATTTTTCACTTGTACAGAGAAATCTTACAGAATATTTTGTTGCTGTGGATGTGAACAACATGCTGCAACTGTACGCCAGTATGCTGCACGAAAGGCGCATCATTATTACCTCTAGCAAATTAAGCACTGTAAGTACTTCACACTTTTCCTTTGGAGTAGCATGTATTGAGTGTTTCACAAAAAGACCTAAGAACCTCTGCAAATTTAGAAATGTGCTATGTGTACTTATAATACAATATCTACATACTTTTTTGATATATGGTTTTAATCTGGCTCTTGAAGTACAAAAGTGATTTATGGAAGGCCTTCTCAGATGCATTAAGTCAGGTTAATTATTTTTTCTTATCAGGAGATGCGAGTTTTTTTTTTTTTTTTTAATTCTTTTTAACTCTCTGGAGTTCATTTTAGTGTCTTCTACCATATAAAGAGTCCGTGAGAGCTATTATGAGATCTTTATTATTCACTTGTGGCTTTTTCCATTGGAGCTACTTGAAAGGAATCAAGGGGCCATGATAATAGCTGCTATCCTAACCTGGTAATAGGTAGATTCATCTTTGTTGCCACGTACTGGTTTGGGAGTAGATTCTATAATAGTTCTGATTTGGAGGAGCTCTTCAGGCTGATAATAACTTTAAAGTCAAAGTAGCATTTTTTATAAATCACAGGTTTTATGACACTCACTAAAATATTCTTTGGAAGGTCTTCATTACTGTGGTGAAGGCAGTGAGAACAGAAGGATATTCTTGGGTCACAGAAAAATATTCAAAAGCATTTTGCTAGATTTCATAATTTTTTCCTCCTTTAAGCATTAAAAGTTTAATATTTTTAATTTTAATTTTTAATACAAATTTAAATATAGTTTTGAATAATCTATGAGATATTCATTAAAAACCATTATTCAATATTGCATGAATTTGCTACTCCACCAATTTGTTTAATTAATGAAAAATGAAACCATATTTTTAATGTTTTCTTCT